TTCCCTTCCCTTCCCTTCCCTTCCCTTCCCTTCCCTTCCCTTCCCTTCCCGCTTCCTTGCACTTCCTTGCTTCTTTGCTTGCTTCTTTGCTTGCTTGCTTGCTTGCTTCCTTGCTTTCCTTGTTTGCTTCCTTGCCTTTCCTGGCTTTCTGGCTTCCTGGCTTCCTGGCTTCCTCGCTTCCTCGCTTCCTCGCTTCCTTCCTTCCTGGCTTCCTCGCTTCCTTGCTTCCTTGCTTGCTTCCTTGCTTCCTTGCTTCCTTACTTGCTTCCTTGCGCTTCGTTGCTTCTTTGCTTCTTTGTTTTCTTGCTTCTTTCCTTGCTTGCTTGCTTGCTTGCTTGCTTGCATGCTTGCTTGCTTGCTGGCTGGCTGGCTGCCTTGCCTTGCCTTGCCTTGCCTGGCTTTGCGTTGCTTTGCTTTGCTTGCCTTGCTTTGCCTTGCTTGCCTTGCTTGCTTCCTTGCTTCCTTGCTTCCTTGCTTGGTTCCTTGCTTCCTTGCACTTCCTTGCGATTCCTTGCTTCCTTGCTTCTTTGCTTGCTTGCTTCCTTGCTTGCTTCCTTCCTCGCTTCCTCGCTTCCTTGCTTGCTTCTTTGCTTCTTGCTTCCTTGCTTCATTGTTCCCCACTACCAATCTATGGGGTCTTGCAAAACTATTGGGCGGACGGGCGCCGTCGGGTCACCGTCAGAGCTGGTGGGCGGATGGTGTCCCGGTCATGTTTTGATGGCGTCCGGGTCATGTGATGCTGGTGTCCCGGTCATGTTTTGATGGTGTCCCGATCATGTTTTGATTGTGACCCAATCATGTTGTGATGGTGTCCCGGTCCTGTTTTGATGGTGTCCCGGTCATGTTTTGATGGTGTCCCGGTTATGTTGTGATGGTATCCCGGTCATGTTTTGAAGGTGTCCCGGTCATGTTGTGATGGTGTCCCGGTCATGTTGTGATGGTGTCCCGGGCATGTTTTGATGGTGTCCCGGTCGTGTTGTGACGGTGTCCCGGTCATGTTTTGATGGTGTCCCGATCATGTGATGGTGGCGCGGTCATGTTGTGATGGTGTCCCGATCATGTTTTGATTGTGTCCCAGTCATGTTGTGATGGTGTCCCGGTCGTGTTTTGATGGTGTCCCGGTCATGTTTTGATTGTGTCCCGGTCATGTTGTGATGGTGTCCCGGTCATGTTTTGATGGTGTCCCGGTCATGTGATGGTGTCCTTGTCATGTTGTGATGGTGTCCCGGTCATGTTTTGATGGTGTCCCGGTCGTGTTGTGACGGTGTCCCGGTCATGTTTTGATGGTGTCCCGATCATGTGATGGTGGCGCGGTCATGTTGTGATGGTGTCCCGATCATCTTTTGATTGTGTCCCAGTCATGTTGTGATGGTGTCCCGGTCCTGTTTTGATGGTGTCCCGGTCATGTTTTGCTGGTGTCCCGGTGATGTTGTGATGGTGTCCCGGTCATGTTTTGATGGCGTCCCGGTCGTGTTGTGACGGTGTCCCGGTCATGTTTTGATGGTGTCCCGGTCCTGTTGTGATGGTGTCCTGGTCATGTTTTGGCGGTGTGCCGGTTATGTTTTGATGGTGTCCGGGTCATGTGACGGTGTCCCGGTCATGTTGTGATGGTGTCCTGGTCATCTTGTGATGGTTTTCCCGTCATGTCATGTTGGTGTCCCGGTCACCTTGTGATGGTGTCCCGGTCATGTTGTGATGGTGTCCCAATCATGTTGTGACGGTGTCTCGGTCATGTTTTGATGGTGCCCTGGTCATTTTGTGATGGTGTCCCGGTTATGTGATGATGGTGTCCAAGGAAGAGATGGTCGATGCGTTGAAAACAGCAGCTGTTTCCAGATTTTTCTTTTTGTCCCGGTTTGTATCTTGCTATTGGGGTCTCCAGCTGGGCTAATTTGCTTGCTTGCTGGCTTGCTGGCTGGCTCACTCGCTGGCTGGCTGGCTGGCTTGCTTGCTTGCTTCCATTCTTGCTTCCCTTTTTTTGTTCTTTTTAAATTCTTTGTCTCCATCCTTCTTGCTGCCGGCTTTACGCTCGCGACAAAACTCACTCTTGGCACAGTGGTTTTGGAATACCTGCGACAAAGCTTGCATAAAATCACCGATCTCCTGGCACAAATCCTGCAAACATGAGCCAGAAACTTTGACCACACGAAATACTATTTGTATATATTATATATATAGTTATAACTATATATATATATCTACATATACTACTTTAGCTATATGTGTACGTGTACGTGTACGTGTGTGTGTGTGCGCCACCACCTGTTCCTAAGGCTTTCTTTCTTGTCCTACGAGTTTCTGCGACTTCAACTAAACCTCACTTGTTGGATCAGTTTTTCCAATGTACAGCAGCGCATTTCACTGGGACTGTGTCCAATGAAGCTACCAGTGAAATGGGGTATCCAGCTTGGCCAGCTGGACGTACCTGCAAACCATTTTATTGTGTGTGTGTGTGTGCGTGTGTGTGTGTAACCCTTGGAATCATAGGGATCCTTTCGGATTGTTTTAGCTTCGCAGTTGTTTTCCTTGTGCAGTAGGGGAACTGGGCACTCTGTGACTGACCCAGTTCAACGAAGCTAGGTCACAGAGTGGGATATTCGGACTGATCATCCGAACGTACCTGCATTTTTCCAATTTTCCGCATGGCGTGAGGCTAAGCCAAGAACCTCAAAGACTTGGTACTTCATGTTGCTGCAGACATGCACGACACGACGTCATCTTGTCGGCTCGTCGATCGTCTTCTTCCTTTTGGGCCCTACTTCCTCTTGAAGACCTCCAGGATCCAGTGGTTCGTACATGTACCCTTAGGAATTGGAACCCTAGGCCGGCGTGTGGCACCGCTTTCAGTTCAGTACACCCTATCCTAAGTGTGTTTGGCCTCGTGCCAACCCACCCTCCCCTGTTTGTTGCTTTCATAGTGGTTATCGCGGCCTTGCAGCAGCTGTGTAGCCGATCGCGTGCGAGTGAAGCCCTTCTGTTCAAACACCCTCACTGTTCCAGCATTCCTTTCCTTGTGGAGTATTTGGTTGGAGGCCATCACTATTTGACTCAAGGAGGCCATTGCTATTAGGTTGGAGTACATTGCTTTTTGGTTGGAGGCCATAGCTAGTTGGTTGGAGGCCATCGCTATTTGGTTGGAGGCCATCGGCCATTGCTATTCGTTTGGGCTCCCTTTTTTTTCACCCTCGAACAATGTTTTTTTTTCACCCTCCCTTTTTTTCCCACCCTCGAAACCTTTTTTTTCACCCTCAAGATTCCTTTTTTTTCCCACCCTTTGGAACCTTTTTTTCTGTCATTTTCACCCTGTAGCATGTTTCTTTCACCCTTCACCTTGTTTTTTCACCCTTCACCCTTTCTTTTTCACCCTCGACCCTTTCTTTTCAACCCTCCGCCGGTGAAGCAGGTATCCCATGGAACCTGCACAGAGAACGATGTCACCTCCGGTTTGTTTCACACCGCTTGTCCCTGCACCTGCCAAACCCTTTGTTTTCACCCCAATAGCTTCTTGTTACTAGCCCTTCGGAACCCTCCGGAAACTGCGTAGAGACTGTCCGGAACGGCGGGAACTGCCGGAAACTGACCCGGACGCCTCCGGAACGTGAGGCAGCACAGGATCCATCCATCCGTCCATCCATGCATCCATCAACGGAGTGCCAACCAACCAACCAACCAAGCAACAACGCGGCCAAGCCAACAAACTCACCAAGCACAAGCACTGTATCACGCAAGCAATCACGGCAAGCAAGCCAACACACCAAAAAGTAACATTCTTCCCCGTGTCCATGATCCATCCATCACTGTATGTGTCTTCTCCAAGCCCAAGCAACCGACAAGTCAAGCAGGCTGAACCAACCAACACAACAACCAAAGGAAGGAGAGTTAAAAAGAAAGGGTGGGCAGCCCACCAGCAGCAAACAAACCAAGCAACCAACCGTTTCCCCCAAATGCTGTCGATACTTGCTTTGCATTGGTAGCCCACCAAGCAACCAACAAACCAAGCAACCAAAACGACGCAACCCTGTGTGATCCCACATGCTGTCGATACTTGGTTCGCATTGCGGGGGGGCGCTGCGCCCTCCCCCGCACCCCATCCCGCCTTTATTTACACTCCATCCATTTGTGCATCCATCCCCGCCCGCCATTATCTACAGACCATCCATCCACCCATCAAACAAGCAAGCAACCAACAAACCAAGCAACCCAAACCACGCAACCCTGTTTTTCCCCCAATGCTGTCGGTACTTGCGCCCTCCCCCGCACCCCGTCCCGCCTTTATCTACACACCATCCATCCATCCATCCACCCACTCATCCATCCATCCATCCATCCACTGTATCACGCAAGCAATCAACAG